TTTTTTTTTTTTTGAGACAGAATCTCACACTATCTCCAGGCTGGAGTGCAGTGGCAAGATCTTGGGTCATTCAACCTCCGCCTTCTGTGTTCAAGCAGTTCTCCTGCCTCAGCCTCCCAAGTTGCTGGGCTTACAGGCACGTGCCGCCATGCCCAGCTAATTTTTGTATTTTTACTAGAGATGCAGTTTCACCCTTTTGGTCAGGCTGGTCTCGAACTCCTGACCTTGTGATCTGCCCACTTTGGCCTCCCAAAGTGCTGCAATTATAGGCATAAGCCACTGTGCTGGTCTAGGTTTTTCTCTTTGTTTCTGTATTTAAGATTTTTATAAACTCTGAGGGCTTTGAGTTTGTGTTTCTCTCTTTGCCTTCATCAGTCTGCAGTTTGAGATTATGGCAGGTTGGGCTGAATGTGGAGACTTCCAGGTCCAGACGTATTCCTAGGCCTGATCCTACTATTAGGGTTACTCAAGTTGAGAACATTTCAGTTTCTCACAGGCTTAGCTGTTGAAGAACTGTACATTTGCCTATTTGCTGTATTGCTAGCATTGTTTATAGCTTAGTTTTATTTAATCTAAGGTTTTATTAGTTTAACAACCTTTTAAATTGCACAAATACTAAGAACAGCCTTTCTGAACTAGTTGTCAGTGAGGATCCAGGGAGACTGTTCTTTTCAACAACTGGGTTTTGAGATATTTTTGTTTTCTCCTCTTTAAAGTCAGAAGCATTATCCCACACTATTTTCTCCTGTTTAACAATTTAGTATCTTGTATTTGCTTTTATGGCTTTATTTGATGGTAATTAAGATTGAAGAGAGTGTCTTTGTATTCTCCCTAGCACAGTGCATGGCATGTGGCTTTTCCTAAATATTGTAAATGAACAGAGTGCATTTCTACCCTCAATGTAGAATTTAGAGTGTAGCAATCAATTTTTTGTACATGTGCATAAATAACCGTAGCACAAAGCAGATTAGAAGGTTATCAAATTAAGAAAATTATGAATGAAGTTTTGTGTGATCCTATGTGACAAGGTCTCTACACTTATCCTACTTGACTGTGTAACATAAAAGCCTGTAGTACCAAAGTCCAGTTGGCAGTTTTTGGCCAGAAAGCAGCTTGTTCTAAGTCTTGAAAGCATTAATTGAAATTTCTGTGCCTTTGAGTTGGTATTTTCTTACATTAGTTAACTAGAATTTGGGATGTGAGAAACTAAATCTAGTTTGAGTAAATCTTTTTTGTTTTGTTTTTAGTTTTTTGCAGCTATTTCTAGCTCAGAGAAAAATTGTAGGTATGGTACAAAGAAACTTTTTTCTGAACTAGTTGAGAGTAAGCTGCCAACATTATGCCCTGACACCACTGAGTGTGTATTTCCTACAAACAAAAAGTCTTTACAAATATTAAACTCAGGAAACTAATATTGATGCATTCATACTATCCTCAGATTTATGTGTTGCATTTAGTTTTCATGTCTCTTAGTCTCCATTCTGAAACAATTCTTCAGTCTGTCCTTGACTTTGATAGTCTTGACAGTTTGAATATTATAGGCAAGTTATTTTATAGACTTGCTCTCAATTTGGCTTTGTCTCATTTCTTGGCAGGAATATCGCTTCCCAAAGTTAGTGTACTGTAAGCTATACTATGTCTGGATATCACCCTAAATACATTCCTGATGCTGCATATTGAAACTTAGGAAGAACACAATATAAGAAACCCTGTGTCTTCATTAAAATTTAACTACAAAGGACTGGTGATTACCTTGCTCTTCTGCAGAGTAGTTTTTCTGTAGAAAAGAATTTTGTGGTGTCTGTATGCCTGTTCCTTAACATTAAATCATTTTACTTTGCTGAATTGCAAATTAGGATGTTTTGGATCATATAATCTTATTTATTTTTGACATGGGAGCTATTCCTTATTAAGGATACTGAGTAACAGATTTTTTTCTATCATATTAAACATAATGGAAAAAGTATGCACATTCTTCTTGTTTGAATGGTGTTTATAAGAAATTCCAAATCCTGTTTCTTTTTCATTCCATTTGCTACTTTGCATTTATACTTTTGCTTCATATTGGGATCCTCAGATGATACTCTAGGAGAGAGAAAAGGCAAGCCACAGGGTAGTAGAAAATACTAGCAACACATAAAGTTGACAAGGGGTTCATATGCCAGATGTACAAACAGCACCTTCAAATAAGTAAAGACAATTTCTTAGAAAGCTGCATGAGTGTTGAAATTCACGAAGAAGTCTTTTTAGATGACCAGTAAATATGTGAAAAGGGACTCAACTGCAATGAGATGCCAATAGACACCTCTCAGGATGGCTAAAAAAAAGTCTTTAAGATGGATGATAGCTAAATGTTGGCCAAGGTGTGGAATAATTGGAATTCTCATACATTGCTGATAAAAATGTAAATTGTTAAAAGAACTTTGGAAAACTGATACCCATTTAAATTCAACCTACACATACCCGTATGATCACGAATTCTACCCAATTGAAATGAATGTAAATGTGGATATGACAACTCTAATTATAAAGAATCAACTTTCTGTTTTCTTTTTTTTTGAAACAGAGTCTTGCTCTGTTGCCAGGTTAGAGTGCAGTGGCATGATCGTGGCTCACTGTAACCTCCACCTCTTGGGTTCAAGCCAGTCTCCTTTCTCAGCCTCCCAAGTAGCTGGGACTACAGGTGCGCGCCACCACACCCAGCTAATTTTTGTATTTTTAGCAGAGGCTGGGTTTCGCCATGTTGGCCAGGATGGTCTTGATGTCTTGACCTCATGATCCACCCATCTCCCAAAGTGCTGGGATTACAGGCATGAGCCACCACGCCTGGCCAACCCTTTTTATTTTTTATTTTTATTTTTTTTTGAGACAAAGTCTCGCTCTTGTTGCCAGGTGCCAGCCTGGAGTGCAGTGGTGCAATCTTGGGTCACTGCAACCTCTGCCTCCTGGGTTCAGGCAAGTTTGCCTCAACTTCCCAAGTAGCTGGGACTACAGGTGTGCACCACCATGTGAGCTAATTTTTTAATTTTTGTATTTTAGTAGAGACGGGGTTTCACCATGTTGATGAGGATGGTCTTGATTCTTGACCTTGTGATCTACCTGCCTCGGCCTCCCAAAGTGCTGTTATTGCAGGCATGAGCCACCTCGCCTGGACCTTGCCAACCCTCTTCTGCTTTCAAAGTTAATATATCCCCTTGTTTTGCATAAAAGTTAATGTCTTTTTATCCCCCCATGTTGGCATCTTATTTTGTTTTTAAGGTAAATTTTAATAACGTCTGTGTTGCTTCCAACTATTGTGGAGTGCTCTTAAATCTACCAAACATTTTAGTCACTGGATTGTTGCCGGTAGCCCATACGCTGTAGGGTCTGCACCGAATGCAACCTATAACACTGATTCTCAGTATCTTTTTTCTTCCTCTTCTAGTTATTTGCTTGTAATGAATTGTGTTGCCCTGGACAATTTGGGAAAGAAGGGTTTGTAAGGCCAAGAAGTATTATGGATGAGGCTGACGGGGTTATAAAGAGAAAATCTGTAATATGAGAGGCACACAAATTTAAGTAAGAAAAATCCTCGTAGATCTATGTCACAGGAAACATTTTGAATTATTTTATCATGATTGCATAATTATTTCATAAACTGCATATTTGAATTTAATTGAACTATTACTAAATTTCAGTTTTCAAATTTTGGATTCAGATATACGTACTGAATTGAATTCTAAGTTAACAGGTTGTACAAATGATTTTGTTGTTGGATGTTATATATATGCCTCTTTTCCTCTGGGAAGGGGCACAGAGAAGCTATAAATTGTTTATTAGACTCATTGAGGCAAAGAAAGGGGTTCATTAACCAATCCTAAAAGTAAATTTTTTTTTTTTTTTTTTGACATGGAGTCTTGCTCTGTTGCCCAGGCTAGAGTGCGGTGGTGTGATCTTGGCTCACTGCAACCTCTGCCTCTGGGTTCAAGTGATTCTTTTGCCTCAGCCTCCCGAGTAGCTGGGACTACAGGTGTGTGCCATCACACCCAGCTAATTTTTGTGTTTTTGGTAAAAACAGCGTTTGACCATGTTGGTTAGGCTGGTCTTGAACTCTTAACCTTGTGATCCACCCGCCTCGGCCTCCCAAAGTACTGGGATTACAGGTGTGAGCCACTGTGCCCAGCCAAAATAAATAAAATTTTAAGCTGGAAAAAACATAATCATCATAATACCACAGCATTCAGATTAATTGAGAGTTTACTTGTAAATTTTGAAAAGGTGTAGTCATCTAAATGTCTAACATTTTTTTAGGTATAAATACGTTGCTTAGCCGGGCGCGGTGGCTCACGCTTGTAATCCCAGCACTTTGGGAGGCCGAGGTGGGTGGATCACGAGGTCAAGAGATCGAGACCATCCTGGTCAACATGGTGAAACCCCGTCTCCTTAAAAAACTACAAAAAATTAGCTGGGCACGGTGGCGCGTGCCTGTAATCCCAGCTACTCAGGAGGCTGAGGCAGGAGAATTGCTTGAACCCAGGAGGCGGAGGTTGTGGTGAGCCGAGATCGCGCCATTGCACTCCAGCCTGGGTAACAAGAGCGAAACTCCGTCTCCAAAAAAAAAAAAAAAAAAAATATGTTGCTTAATAGTGAATTTTAATTTTCTAAACAAATATCTTTTTTCTCATTTTCTTCAAGTATGGGGGGTAAAATACCACCTGCTACTCAGAAAGCTAAATCAGAAGAAAATACCAAGGTAAGTTTTAATTTCATTTGTATGTTTTATGATAAAACACAACAAGGTTTCTTAGGGGTTTTTAAACTTTTGCTCCCCAGTTATCACTCCTGATTCCCCAAGATCACTTGGAAGTAAGATCTTGTAAGATCCCTTTGTCTTTATAAACTTTGTAGACTGAATTCTCTGGAATCTGATTTAGAACTGAAAATTTAGGGTTGAATGTTTACTGTGTTTTAGAATACGTGACAATAAAAATTATATCTATATGTATGGCCTATAAGTTGTAAGCTCAGTGATGGTATGCATCTGTAGCTTTCATTGTTGTCTTACAGTGTGTCATATGCATTGTAGGTACTTTATTTATTATTTACAGAGTAAATGAAAAAGTATCCCAGGTCAATAATGTAGTTTTTTTGCTCTACTACCTGAGTGTGAATCATGTTGTGTTAGCGTATTTGCTGCAAGGATGTGTAAGATTAGGAGAAAGTTACCAGTAGCTGAAGTTGAGAGAGAGATGAAGGGGAAAATACACTTTTAAGAATGTTTTGTTTTTTGTTTATTTGTTTGAGACAAGTTCTCTGCCACTGTCACCCAGGTTATAGTGCAGTGGTGCAACCTTCGCCTACTGGGTTCAAGTGATTCTCCTGTCTCAGCCTCCCGAGTAGCTGGGATTACAGGTGCATGCCATCATGCCTGGCTGATTTTTCTGTTTTAAGTAGAGATGGGGTCTCGCCATGTTGGTCAGGCTGGTCTCAAACTCCTGATCTCAAGTGATCCACCTGCATCAGCCTCCCAAAATGCTGGGATTACAGGCATGAGTCACTGCACCCAGCCAAGAATGCTTTTTATTTCTCTCTTCTGCCTTCATATCTGTTTTTTTTTTTTTTTTTTTTTTTTTTTTTTTTTTTTTTTTTTTTTTTTTTTTTTTTTTCTTTTTTTTTTTTTTTTAAATTGATAAGAAAATTAGCTTTTTTATTATTTAGAACCTTAAACATTGTTTATCTATTTGGATCTTAAAGTAGAGGTTATGCCTATTAAGAAGGAGAATGAGAAAATTAAGCCAAAGCCCAAAAGTAGTTACCTTTTTTCAGAAGGGTCATTTATCAGAGTAGTATTTTCTGAGCCCTAGATAGGATATTTTGCCATTTGGCGAATGTGTATGAAGGCAAAGTTATATTTAACCTATAAAAACATTCTAAGTTAGAATTATTACTGATCTTTCAATATATTCTAGAATACCTAGACTTTGCACATTTTATAGGGACTCAAATATTTTGTGATAAGGTAGGTCTTTAGTTCTGATTTTTTAAGTAACACGTTAGCAACCTAAAATGGTTAATGATATACAGTAGAGTGAATAGATGAAGGTACGCTGATAATGGTATATAATTTGCAAGATACACAACATTGTTAAATGCGAAAGACAAAATATAGAGTTGTCTCATGTAGAGAGAGACTATCCTAGAATGGGATATACAAGAAACCACCCTGGTTATTTCTAGGATGAGAAGGAAATTTTGCTTTCTGTCATATGTGCACTTTTACATTCTTAGAATTTTCATTGTTTATTATTATAGTTCCACAGGTTCTTATTTGCAGTTCCAAAACTCAAAAACCCCTGTGAAGATTTTCACTAAATTAGACAATAAAACATAATGTGAATTGATATGAGGCTATTTATAATCTGTAAACTGTTTATTGTTTTTTTTTTTTTTTGAGACGGAGTTTCGCTCTT